CAGAGTGTTAGATAATCCCAGCATGCGACACTTTAGAGATTGGCATGTTTGCCCATCTGTAGCTGCCGAAATAGGGTAAATGCGACCGTGCACTCCCAAATATGTAACCGTGTACTGTGTGTTTAACATCAAACCCCAGTTTCAGTGAAGTTGGGTTTCAGACACGTTTGCGACGATGACGAATAGGCAGGGACTGAACGACCGACAAAACTTGTGGACAATGCTAAACTCCGAGCGTACGGAACCGATCTTTACAACACCTTCACCCATCGACGCAACATGGTCGATAACCCACTCTTTCCGGAGTACGATGATCTTTGGTCCGTGCAAAGGTCACCAAAAACGCCCAAAACTGCCAAAATTGACTGCATACAACAACATGCTCCTAGTCTATGAAACCGATTAAAAACAAACATGATGACCTTCAGTTAGGTCAAAAATCACCCACAACTCTCGAAACTGCCAAAATTAGCGCCACACGACTCAATTATCCGACCCTGCAACACCGAAGCAGTAAAAAAACCTCAATCGAAGCGCCATAGTCAATCGGATGCCCTGTCCAAAACGTGGTGACCTTGAGTAAGGTTAACGATTGCCGAAAGATTACAAAGTCACAAAAATCGGTGTACTCCACGCTCCACGCCCATGGCACCGAGATCGTAAATCGTTTTCATCGGCTTGGACTCTGGGTTTTCGAGATTTCCCACGGTCTCGGTTCAGCACGAAGATGGCGTAATGTATTATCGGGCAAAGAATGGTGGAATAGCTCAGAAGAGTAAACGTTATTTTTACGTCTTATGTGACCTTATTCACGCCGGGAAATGTTAGTGAGCTAACCTCAGGCACACAAATTGCAGGCGTTTAATGGTGAAAGGGGCGTCACTCGAACATGGCTGTGTGGTCCAACGTCATTTGATTCGGTAATAGAATCTGCGCTGGACACCATTGTTCGCCACCTACCGACTGTTACTGTTTAGTCCAGCGTATTTCCGGCGACGATCCATGCAGGGGTTCCACGTCCTGTTTATCGCCTGTCGCTTGCTATTTAAGTTGCGTCATATGTTGTGACACCTCACCTGTGACATTTCATAGGTTTCATTTGTTCACTTTCATCTACAAGTGTTGCGTCGTGTGCGGCGTGCTTATAGACAGTTACGTTTTTGCCCACATCTGGCTTACAAGTAGATTTACGAATATCGTAGATGACACGCTTCACTGCGCACTCCTCGATGCACATGGGACACTTTTCCGAAATACCATACATTTATGCCGAAGAGCAGGTTTTACGATAGCAGCTAATTGAAATTGGACGGCGTCACACCGAATATCGTTACTGCCCTATCACAATGTGTTGCTGTAGTTTTGACATGAATGCAAAAGCTCTTAAATAAAAGCGATCACGACAAACAAAGGGGTGAGAAAGGAGAGAGAGAGAGAGAGAGAGAGAGAGAGAGAGAGAGAGAGAGAGAGAGAGAGAGAGAGAGAGAGAGAGAGATAGAGAGAGAGAGAGAGAGAGAGAGAGAGAGAGAGAGAGAGAGAGAGAGAGAGAGAGAGAGAGAGAGAGAGAGAGAGAGAGAGAGAGAGAGAGAGAGAGAAAGGAAGAGAGAGAGAGAGAGAGAGAGAGAGGGGAAAAGGAAAGGAGGAGGAGGAGGAGGAGGAGCATACACACATACACACACTCATATATATATGTGTACATGGATGCCGATTACCTCGCTCAATAAATGAATTGCGAATGACGCCAGACGTACTCCATGTCTTCGTGGTGGTCATGTGGTCGGTTATTTCTAAAAGACCTCCTTGTCAGACGGACTCAACTGCTCAGATTCAGCCTCAGGGAGTTTTAGGTCCTGAGAAGGGCAAAGGTGTAAACCGCACCGAGTGATCACCAACATGGCTATGCCAGCTCAAAACCACATACAAATATGTAACGCTCTCTTTTAAAGATGAAATTAGCAATGTCAATCTCAATTGAACATCGGTTTCTACCGGTAGCAGTGAGCTGCCAATTCATGTCTCTAAAAAACTGAGATTTTTCTTGACATTCTTCTCTTAAAAAACCCTGAAGCTACCCCTGGACAATGTATGTTGCCCAAATCAAAGGATGAACCAAATGAACAGTCGGGGAAAGTCATTAAGTTCCATTTTTTCCAGGTAGAATGTCTTTCCAATGAGACCACCAGCTACCAGAGTGGGGGGGGGGGGGAGGATTGATGACCATAAATGACCATATGATGGTCAATGACCATAAACCACATTGCCGTCAGTATGAAATGGAATCTGATAAAATTACCTGTTTGGTCTCTACAGCTTAGGGGAAGGCAAGCTGCTAGGCAGGGGAGTCTATTTAAAATGTTTGGAAGCAGTATCGATTTGAGTTTTAAATGCATAAATGACGCCCTTATTGGGCTACCATTTCCCATTAGCCCGATCATTAACTTAAGTGCCTATGTAGAAGGCGCGCAGTGCCGCACCCAAGCTTGAAATTGTTCTCTTCAACCCTCCGCTCGTGGCGAACAGCCAACGGAGTTCCACCATCATGCAAATAAGGCTACAAAGGGTTGGTGGCGACAGGCAAGCTGTGGCGAACGTGAAGGTCGGGACTGTCTGTGACAGCGCAGTGCGGCTGGAAACAGGAGCCAAGCTTCACGCAGGACCACGGACTGGCAGTCGGGGGGACTGAGAACCGTGGCCAACGCTGACGTGAGGACTGTGGCCGATGATGAGAAAGGTGTAAGCCGCGCTCACGTATATAAGAAAGGGCGTAGATTTGGGAGATGAGGTAGCTGTGATTCAGAGATGGCCGAAAGCCAAGTGTCAGATGGAGCTAAAAGCTGTGATCAGATGTAGAACAAGAGAGGACTGGCAGAGCGGGTATAGTACATAAACTCCGTTGGGCCGCGAGGAAGTAGCCAGATTTACGATTAACTGCTGAAAATGCAGTTTCCACTTGACATTTGACAGTCTGTAACTAGAAGTGGCGTGGCGTTTCGGTAGTAAATGTATTTCGACCTTAAGTGGGTGTTATACCCACAATTTTCGCACGAACCTGTCGGGGAAGTGGATGCTGTATTATACTGACGGCATGTATCAGCTGTTAGCAGAGAGTTTATTATGTTCCATAAGAAACTCGTGAAAAGGCTGTGGTCTGTTCGTGCTCGAAAGCACGATCCCCCAGCTGTGAGGGTGTTGATAGTGCAATGGTGAAGTTGCGCGTTTGACAAGCCAGAGGTACGGCGTTCGATTCCCCGCGCTGCCCGCCCTGCCTGCCGGGGTGAGAAGCAGGCGTCGCCATACAGCCTCAGAAACTGAGTGTGCCGTAAAAACTTAATGACGAAAACAACAGACACAGCTCTAGAAACACGTCAATGTGCATTAATTCGCATTTATTCGCTGACCATGGCTTTTCAATGCGTAACAAGATGCACTGTTTTCTGTCAGCTAGCTAATAGGTTCTCAGTCGGTGTTTAACCGTTCTAACCATTGCATTCCACCCAAATGTTTTATTTCTATTCAGCATGGTGACACGCATACACGGTCTGAAAGGAAACTCACGTAGTCTTGCGATAGAACAAGCGCGGTCCGAAATGACAGCATATTTAAAAACATTGCCAGACAATGCTGGGAAATATGACGAATCGGTGTGGTAACATTTGTACATTACGCAATTGAATAAAGTTGACCAACATTTATCTATATGTTACAAATGAGCGCGGATTTGTATGACCATTATTGGCCTACACGAAGATCGATGAATATTTGTGTTCGAGATACATGCTGCAATTTGGCATGGCGTGAGCTACAGGTGATGCGTAACGGGTGCAGCTTGGAGCCGACTAACGAACACATCAAAGACGGAGGGGAGCTCTGGAGTCTCTCGATGAGACTTCATCCAGTGACCTTGCAATACGTATGCAGTTGAATAGCTTATACACCTGCGTACGTATTCATGCAGCGTGATCATGTCGGGACCAATGACCTGGCCTTGGGGCTGGATATATCTACGTCCAGCCAACTGACGTCTGGGTCAGGTCATCACCGTTAGACGGGTCACCGCATATACGAGCCTAGTGAGAGCTGGACCATCTTTTCTATCCATTAGAAAATCAAGCACGTGTAGTGAGCGAATACCACAGATTTTCTAATGTCAGCAAATTATGTGATGGCTCGCAACAGATTCAAATATCACACAGCCAATAATACTCGTGGAGTGGAATATCAACTGGAGCACTCATTTAGCCCACGAAACCGAGCGACCTTTCCGGCACTGTGAGCGCATTCCATTTCATGATTGTCATCCGTCAGTGGAGCTGGAGCGCGCGAGCGGGCCGTCGCTCCTCGACCACACAGCACGCCGTGACACTCTGTTCCTTCGACGCAGGGCTCTCACGCGACCTTGCCCCTCACAGGGGCCACCATCATCCGTCAGTGGAGCTGGAACGCGCCAGCGGGCCGTCGCTCTTCGATCACACAGCACGCCGTGACACCCTGTGCCTTCGACGCAGGGCTCTCACGTGACCCTGCCCTTCACAGGGGCCACCATCATCGCCAACCAGCCGGCCCGCCCCCACAGCCAGCTGCCGCTTCGAGTCCCTCACTGGCCGCGCCGCGTTCTAGCCTCGTCCTGGCTGGGAGGGCGGGGCGCCTCAGTCTCGCCCCAGACGAGCCGCTGGAGCGTCCCAGTCTCGCCACAGCCGACCGGAGGGAAGCCCCAGTCTCACCACAGCTGGGTTGCTGGGGAGCCTCAGTCTCGCCCCAGCCCGGCCGGAGGGAAGCCCCAGTCTCGCCCCAGTTGGGCCGGCGGAACGCCCCTGTCTCTGCCCAGCCGGACCGGTGGGACGGCGCAGCCCCGTCCCAGCAGAGCCGACAGGGATTCCCAGTCTTGCCCCAGCCGGACCGACGGCCGCTCAGATGGCCGACTCGCAGCAGTCTCCGTTGAGTTGGGCGGCCTTGGGCCGGCCGGTCAGCCGCTCCAGCTCGATGTCGACCGGCGGCTGGGCGGCGCCCGGCCGTGGTCGTGACGCCTCACGCGCGGCCGCCGCCAGCTCCACCTGCGGCAGACGAGGTCAGGTCAGGAAGTGTCGGCCCCAGCACTGTCGCTTCCCAGCCGCCGGCTGCACTTGCGGCAGGGGAGGTCAGCTAAAAAATCGCCGGTCTCAACACTTTCGCTTCCCAACCGCTGGCCCCAACCTGCGGCAGTGAAGAGGTTAGGTCAAACATCCCTAACGTCTTGAGCAATTCGCGACAGCGGATGATCAAGTATGACCGAAGGCTCTTCACTCTGAGCCGAGGCTCAAGTTTGAACCAGTGCGTCACTATAAAGCACATAACGCTCTGCTTCCCAAGGCCATACTGTGCTTTGAAAAGAGCCACAGAACTAAACGGCATGAGGGCGAAATCATAGACGTAACGCAGCATTCGGTTTAAGTCGCGCGGTAAAAGCCTGAAGTTTGGATACATTTTTTTCGTTAATAGAGTGTTTTAAGCTTTCATATTTTTGTCAAAACATTTATCACGCTAGCATTTTGACGAATTAGTCTGTTGTAAACATTACAGAACACGAATGTTGGAAAAAGGAAGGCAGATTAAAAGTATTACTTTATAGTGGTGAACAGGGAGTCCAATGGAATTTCTCCTGCCGGGACAGCCACTGCAACTCAAAATTATGAGCTATCCAGAGGATCTCGAGAAAACTGCTAGCGATCAAATCGGACGCGTCATACCTAACAATGGGGGGGGAAACTATAAACAAGGAGGCATGCCTCCGTTAACAGCTCGCTCTTTGTCCCTGAGCGAGGTCTTGAGCGGCCGGTGTCAGTGGCTGAGCTCGAGATCATTTGGCCCCTGAGTATCAGCTGACCTGAAGTTTAATGCATCGGGCCGAGCATGTGTCACGTTCAGGTGTCACATTGTAGTTCTGCCGCTGACGGAGGATTTCACGACCAGATGATGGGGTCTGCGCTTACGCAATAAGCGCCACTCAGCGTGCCCACTGACCTCACAAATGCATGTAATGAAAATGTTCAGACTAGGTCTGAAAATGGGGCAAATTGTTATCGACCTTGCGCCAAGCTATAAAGCAGTTTGTCTCAGCGTTGATCACCTTTGCAGGCGGTGATTATGCAAATTCATTCCCATTAATGACAAAAAGTTTTTGATTGTGCGTGGGTGAAGTCACTTTGGGAGTGCCTTACCCACGCCTCCCCTACCACGTCCATATTTGCCTCGGTCCCAAATGTGAAGCCCATGTCACCAGAAAAAGCTGTTAATGAACACTAAGAAGTTCCCAAACTCCAAAATAGAAAGGAAACTGGTCTTTGGACCTCAAATAAGTTATATCTGAAGGTCAGACCCTGCGGTTACAAACCGTGGCTACCAGAGGCGGCCACTTGGTTCGGTTTTGGTATTCAAAATTGGAAAAGTTACGCTCGGATATCCGAAAACTTTGCGTATATTTCCAAGTTTACGTTCAGCTGAACCAGTGGCGGTCGTGCCAAACGTTCACATTGCAGATTGCGCTGCAGAATGTCAGCCAATATTCCAAGACACGAAATCACCGTTGAAGGTCATGGAAAGTCAGACATCACTGTGCTGCGTGTGCAAATCAGACTACTACGCTCAGTGGTAGCTCAAAATGCAATTAAAAAATATGTACGCATAATGTATTAGAACAGTTCCAGCCTTTCAGATTGAGTAACTGTTGAGATTATCGCCTTCGTCTGGTTTACTAGCTTGCATGTTACTAGTGTGCGCATGCCACACACCACACGGAGATGAGAGTTCGAAAAATGATCGTATCCGTAACACATTATCCGTAGCCATTCCGCAAAAGCGTCTGCATTCTCTTCCCATTCTCCCGATATTGTTAATTTCCCGGCGATTTGATCCGTTTGCTGCCATATTTATACCCAAAACATTACTCGTCCTGCAGCTCTACGGGGGCTTGGTAGCGTTGCGGCGCAGTGTTCATGTGGCAGCGCTGCGATCCATTAAACCGAAGCCTACGTTCCGTGAATGGGGATTTTTCTGTTGGTCTCCGCTGGCCGTGATTGAAAAGATGGCGTCGTCCCTTCAATTTCTGTCAGCTGTTAAGCTATAAAACGTGTTTGGCACTTCCTGTTATTTTTAGGCCAATTTTTTCAGGCCAAAATGGCTGCTTCCTTTGTCAAGTATATCTTATTCTGTGTATTAATTTCAGTAGAAAGTGTTGAAATATTTTAGAGAAATCGAGCATAACGTAACACAAGAAGACCCGCAGTCCCAAGAGGAGGTCCCGATTGGAAAGATCGGGGACCCCACCATGCCAAGAATTGCATTCAGTCATACATTTTATGCCTCACAGGTTACTTTGAAAGAAATGGCCAAAATCTGAGGACCTAATTTCGGATAAGAGTTGGGGTAGGAGGCGTGAGACGTCGGGTCTATTCACCCACTTTGGAAGAAGCCTGTGGCGCCGCCTCTGGGCCATACACTGTTGATCTAAAACAGTCCTTGACCCGGCATATTCACCGGGACGGAACAAAAGGTCGCATTTCGACACGTATCCAGGGCATATTCAGAGGAAAGGGTTACATCAGAAAAGAGTCATGAAATCGAGTGGCCCAGTTTCATATCGTCACTACCTAGGCTCTCAGCACGCTTTTGTTAGGGACGCTCTCACGGGGGTCGAGGGCGCCATCCACTCGGCCGCCACGCTCCCTAAGTGAGAGGAGAGGACCGGCGCCACCCAGCCGCGAGAGTCGGCCGCACAGGGAGGGGCGCGTCTGCACGCCGTCCGGCTCCGCCCTGACAGCGAGTTTGAGGAGGGGGGGGGGGGGGGCGGGGTCCGTATCAGCCCGTCCGGCGGGACCTTCAAAGGGTCCGACTTCGGAGTAAATTCCATGCGGCCGTGCTGTCCAAACAAAGCAACGCACAGCGTGCTATGAAGTTACGACATGCGATGGGGCGTGAGATGAGTGGATGCCGTCGAGGGCCCCACTGAGAGGCTTTGGATCGAAGCTGGCAGTTCAGACGGTGGGGCGTCAAATGAGTGGATGCCGTCGAAGACCCACTTAGAGGCTTTAGCTCGAAACTGGCAGCTCAGACCCCACAGCCAGCCTGTTTCTGACAACTTTAAAGTGGCAAAGACGGAAGTGATACGCTGTACACTTGCTGCCCACAGTGCAGCTACGTCACCGGTCGCTCGAAGAAAATGATCTTAAATTTGTGGAGCTGTCTAGAACCGATCGACTACGCTGTTACGTAACCCAAAGTCAGGCTAAGCGCTGCTTGGGTCAGCACACAGCTAGTCACAGCACCTGTAATGTGAAGTAATCATGGACGAGAGCAGAAATGAAGAAAGGTGGGGACGTGCTTCCAACAACAACAAAAAAACAAAGACAAAAAACACACACACACAAAGACTCAGTGAGGCATGGCCAAGCTTGCAAATGACGGAGCGGAGTGATTGTGATTACACACCGGCTCACATCCGCTACGTAACTGCGATTTCGCTGACAATGCCGTAATGAGAAAGAATGGTCGTTCATGCGAGCCTTATTGGGGCAACGGGTCAACCGAATTAAGAAACTTCGGCTGGAGCTATCTTAAGGTTTACGGCGCCTGAAATTGAATTGGCCCCCCAGGCATGCTGTCCTCAAGCTCGAATATTGCCCAGCTCTAAAGCTAGCTAACGTTGGGGACGTTCATCAGGTTCCATGCAGGACCGGGAGTCTGGTGCTGGGGGTTGTCGTGACCTGGTGTAGACTTACTTGGGGTGTGATACGGTCACATCGGATTGGAATATCAAAGTCAGATTATTATATGCGAGTAACCTACTACGTGAGCTGCTGACTTCTCAGGGACACGAGGAGTCTACATCGGCTTTATAAGCAACGTCGATAGATCAACATTCATTATTTCCCGTTTCACACGATGCTGTGCCAACGTCGATATAATTATTTCTAGCAATGTCACTGCGGACATGTCAGAAAACACGTTTTTCGGCAAGCGACAAGCCCATGCCACGCTTATTCAAGCGACTTTGTCCTGGCATACTACCCTAGTCTTGACATATATAGAGCAATATGTTAGTGAAGCTCTTCGCAAAATGTGTTGACAAGAAGGTGAAAATGCAACATACACTAGGCAATATACGTGAAATGTACACTAAGACCACTGAAGGTAGAGACTATGCACGCAGGAACGCCTTAGCACACCTCAGGGCAGCTAACAGCATCTCGGCACACCTCAGCGCAGCTAACAACGCCTTAGTACACCTCAGCGCAGCTAACAACGCCCCGGCACACCTCAGCGCAGCTAACACCTCGGCACACCTCAGCACAACTAACGACGCCTCGGCACACCTCAGCGCAACTAACAACACCTCGGCACACCTCAGCACAACTAACGACGCCTCGGCACACCTCAGCGCAATTAACAACACCTTGGCACATCTCAGCGCAACTAACGACGCCTCGGCACACCCCAGCGCAACTAACAACACCTCGGCACACCTCAGCACAACTAACGACGCCTCGGCACACCTCAGCGCGACTAACGATGCCCCGGCACACCTCAGCGGAGTTAACAACGCCTTAGCACACCTCAGCGCAGCTGACAACGCCTTAGTACACCTCAGCGCAGCTAACAACGCCTCCGCACACCTCAGCGCAGCTAACAACACCTCGGCACACCTCAGCGCAACTAACGGCGCCTCGGCACACCTCAGCGCACAGAGGGCACACATTCGTGGCAACAATACAAAGTCATGACGTCGATTTAAAACGTACGGGCCTGATGAGACGTTATAAATCTTCTGCACCCATTGAATAATGGAAACACTAAGGTGATAGTGTAATGGAATAATGAGCCAATTTTTGGTAGCAATTTATTCGCAGTTCACACCACACAACCACTAATGAGCCCATTGTCATGCATTTAGTTTGCCTGGTTTGAACTGCTTCTCGTGTCAACGGCACAATCTGCAGGCTTCTCTCAGAGTTCGCAGAAACGATACACGGCCTTGTTGACCCCACCAACAGCTGACATTGTGCTAGAAACTGGGTCATCG